AAAAGTCAATAGTCATTTGTTATTCCATTGCAATACTGCCACAAGCCTATGGAATAGTTTCCTATGCATATTAGGAGTTAGCTGGGTGATGCCCAAGAGTCGAGACAACCTTGGAGTTGATGAATAGTTGTCGGGAGATGGAAAAAGAGGGAGAGAAGAAGATTGGTGGAAGACTATACCAGCTTGTATATGGTGGACCTTGTGGAGAAGAAGGAATGATAGGTGTTTTGAAGATCAGAGAATCAAATATAGAAGATTAAGATGATGTGTATAAGCCTTCTATTTGTTTTGGTGTAAACAAGAATTGGTAGGGGAGACAGTACATTTAGACATTTAGTAGACTTCATAGGGAACTTGTAAAAGTACCCAAATGGGGGTGTGCTCACCACTATGTGGAATGAAAGTTTCCAATTCATCATTTTTTGGATTATAGATTTTTTGTTTGAATACAAAGTTACCTTAGTCTCAAAAGAATATTAATCTTTGTCTCCCTCCTATAGACCCTTTGCCTTGTCTATTTCTTCTATCTATATTCCCCATAATTGGAGGAACGCTTTTGCAGATTCTAAATGGAAGCAAGCTATGATTGAAGAAATAAAGGTCTTATCAAAGAATTAGTCTTGGGAACTTTCACATCAACACCGGACAAGAAGTTGGTTGGTTGCAAAAGATTCAAAGCAAGATTGGTGACTAAGGGATTCACTCAGACTTATCACTCAGACTTATGGAGTGGATTATCAAGAAACATTTTCTCTTGTTGCAAAAATAAACACTACTCAGACTTATGGAGTGGATTATCAAGAGACATTTTCTCTTGTTGCAAAAATAAACACTATTAGAATTCTTTTGTCAGATGCAGCTAATCTTAAGTAGGTACAACAGTTTGATGTGAAGAATGTCTTTATTCATGAAGACTTAGAAAAAGAGGTGTACATGGAGATTCCTCCTGGTTAAGGTACTAAACAAAGTCAAGGAAAGGTATGCAGAGTAAAGAAAGCCTTGTACAAATTGAAAAATCTCCTAGAGCTTGGTTTAACTGATTCTACGAGCAAATTTTCTAGTAAATGAATATTACAAGCATGATGATGATTTGCTAGTATGTAAAGATTCAATCAACGGAATGGAGTTCATACAGCTTCCGAAGGATCTTAGGAAATTTATTTACTATTTTCCGTTGTACCGCAAAAAAGGTTCTACGGTTGAAACTTGAAAGACCAACACTCTTTTCTTAGAATAGACCTTTTAACTTATTTATGTTGATCTTCAACATGGGACACTATATTTTATAAGGTTTGTATTTAGTGATACCCTCATATACATGATGGATTCTTCGAATCAAAGCCTGTCAAAGGCATATGAAATCATGCAAATAATCCGAAGCCATCCAAATGATGTTCAGCGGGCTAAATCGTTTCCTTGGGGCTAGGTATTTAGAAATTATTATTATAATTGAATAATAACTGCACTTGAAACTCTGACTATGAATCACATTATCTAATACTACAACTAATAGAGAGGTAATATTTTATTTTAATATTTCTCTTGAAGAAATAAGAAAAAGAGCCAGAGGCGGACCCACATGTATAGGTGGGGTACATGTGCACCCGTTAACTTCGGAAAAAATCATGTATATATATGTATATCTATCTCGAGAAGCTGTCAGAAACTACATATAAGTAACAGTGCCCCATGGAAAGCATTGAGGTGGACCCACATGTATAGGTGGGGTGCACATGCACCCGTTAACTTCGAAAAAAATCATGTATAGATATGTATATATATCTTGAGAAACTGGCAAAAATTACATATAAGTAACAAGGGCACTTGATACCACTAGTACAAGCCTACACACCCGCCCACGCGAACATGGTTCGATCACAGATAGAACCCCATTTTATTGTTTTTATTAGGCGAAATGGTCTGGTGGACCCTTATACTTGTATCAGTTTGTATTCTGAACCCTTCTACTTACCCCTTTGTCATCTGGACCCTTTAACTCAATAAAACACAATTTAACAAATCCCTCTGACCATTGACCAAGCTTATGTGTCCTTAAGATAGTTGAGTTGGCGAAAGTGTGTGACTTAACGCACCTTAAGGCGAGTTAATAACTTTTTTAGGTTAAAAAAAATTAAAATTATAAAAGAAATAATTAAAACGTCATTTCTTCTTCCCCACTACCCCCTTCTTTTTGGCCTTTTTCACGCCTGACCAAACTTTTTTTTTCTTCTCCACAATTTACTACACCTATTTAGCAGATCTTGGCGACTGATTCACCGCGGAGGGAGAAAGTGGACCAGCGCTCGCCGGAGACCACTGAATCGCAATGGCGTGAGAGAGAGAAGTGGCGCTGGTGGTGCACGCCACCACTGTTTCGCAGTAGAGTGTAAGAGAGAGGCGACACCGGCTAGTGGAGAGGAGAACGAGGTGGGTGAGGGTGCGATAATGGCGGTGAAGAGGTTTTTCGGCCAGATCTGGTGGTGCGGAGGCTTAGGTTGTTGTTTTTGTGGAGGTTGGAGGAGGAAATAAAAATAGTGATGGTGTGCGGCGGAGATGAAGCTGGGTGAGGGAGAAAGTATATGTGATTTCGCCGGCAAAAATGGCGATGACGGCGGCGATGGCTTTCTCTGGTCAATTTTGATCGTGAAACAGTGAAAATAGGGAGAATTGGATGTATTGAATTTCACTTTAAAAAATGCAAAAAAATAAATTAAAATGTTACTCCCTCTGTCCCAATTTATATGACTTACTTTCCTTTTTAGTCAGTCCCAAAAAGAATGACACATTTCTAATTTTAAGTAACAATTTGCCTATAAAATGTCTTTTTTACCCTTAATGAAATGATTTACAACCACACAAATTTCTATCATTCATTTTGGACCACAAGTTTTAAAAGTCTTTCCATTTTCTTAAAGTTTGTGCCAAATCAAAGTACATCATATAAAATGGGACGGAGGGAGTATTATTTTACATTTTATTAAATAATTTTGGTTAATAATTTTAAAAAATAGTTATGAAATAATTATGATATGGCATTAATATATCTGACGTAGATATGACATGTCAATTATATAAAGGAGAGTGAGCTACACACATGGTTGGAGGGGCTTAAAAGTCTCATTTTAATTGAATTTAAGTATCCAGATGACAAAGGGGTAAGTAGAAGGGTTCAAAATACAAACTGATACAAGTACAAGGGTTCACCAGATCATTTTGCCTTTTTATTAGAAGCTTTGAATTTAAAGGGGGATTATTTATAACATTAAAATTACTAACTCTTGATCATTCAATAGAACGAACGAACACACTTGACCATTGTTTGGTCTTTATATTTGTATTTAACATTTTAAATATTGTTCAAGCCATTAGTGATCAATCCAATATGACATTATTCATTAAAGTTTCGTTAATGCCCAAATTAAGATAATATTGTCGCAACCAGAATCTTCAAATCGTGGGTTCGCCTCTAGAAACAGTATATTACATAGCTTTACCTTAATTATAACAAATTTACCGCATGGACAAAATAACAAACACCTTGTGTGCGACCCAATGGATTCAGACAAATAGCAAAATAATAACAAGAGAAAAAGCAGAAACATAGAGATAAGCAAGGAAAACTTACAAGTGAAGAGGACTGAAGTGGAGGAGGTTAGAATCCGGGGAAGGGAGGGAAGAGAGATGATCAGGAGGGATGTAAACAGGCAAGCCTTTACGAGTTGTGAGGAGGAGAGCAGGTGTCTCAATATTGTGAGGACAGCTTCCTAGCTGAAGAATCCCAGATCGAGCTTTGCCGTTGCTCCATGCCTTTACAGCGAACTTCATTCTCTTCTCCGTTCGCTCTCTCCCTTTCTTCCTCGCCGGCGGTTTAGAGAAGTTAGCTTCCCGCCCTTAAATGTTAAACCCCAAAAAAAGAGAACAACGAGAAAGCAAAACAATATTACGCCTTATAACCACAAAACTTTTTCTTTTAATTATTATATTATACTAATCCCTCATTACGTATAATTACCACTTATATTTTTAATTTATGCGCAATGACTTGAAAGATTCTTATACTTAGATTCGATTATGACTAGGACTCTTCTACTTCACCAAGTTTCAACTAGTCACTTATACTTGAATAATATATGAATTTTAAGTCATTTTGTCACCGTGTATACTAGGGATGTGCATTCGGTTTTTCGATTTGATTTTGTACTATTTGGTTTGAATTTTCTGGTTTTTGGTTCTGAAGAAGTGTAACCCAATCCAAACCAAATTTATCGAAATAAATTTGATTTGGTTTGGGTTTTTTTTCCGATTTGGTTATTCAGTTATGTCAATAATTAGAAACATAATCAAAGTTATATTTGTAATTTGAAAAAAATATATACACATATACAAGGAGGAGTAATATTGAATCTCTTAAATATATTTTCTAATATAAATCACAAGTAAAATGTAAAACACAATACTTAAAAGTATATCAATTATAGATGTCCAAACATAAAATATATATTAAATCATAATGAAAGAAAATAACTAAAACGGGACAAATCCGAAACCAAACCAAAAAAACAAACAAAGTAAATAATTAATCCAAAACAAAACCAAAAAACCAATAATTAGAATTTGATTTAATTTTGTTTGGTTTTTTGGTTTAATTGAAATAATACACACCCTAGTGTATACCTCACTCGATCTAATATGAATGACACACCATATCCACGTCAAAGAAAATAAGTCACAATGCATCTATCTCATTAATTTAAGGGAAAAGGTTTGATGAGAAAATTAAATATAAGGTATCTCTTAAGTCTCTAATTAAATAGAAGGTATCTCTTAAGTCTCTATTTAAATTTTGGTAACTATTTTGACCAAAAAAAGAGTCAAAACATTTAATTATTAGCTTAAATTAATTGGGACTGAATTAACATTTTCAAAACTTCTAATCTTTTTAAAAATACAAAACAGTCCAAATTTTAAAATACAAAATAATCCAAATTTCTCTCCACTTTCTTGGATTCTCCACTTTCTTTAACTTCTCTTCTTCATTGTTCTTCCTCTCTTCCGACTCAAATGTCTCTTCCTCAAATCTGCTCCGCCATCGCTCCCAATCGACTTCCGGCAACTTTTCAACTTTCGGGTCTCAACTTTTCAACTTCCGGCAATTGCTTCGATTCTAAGCATCAATTTTCTCTCTTCGCAGGTAAAAACTTTTATTTTTGAAAAAAATTAGGGCTTTTTAGTTATAAAGAAAAAGATGAACTTGAGAAGGCAAATCCGAAAAAAAACCTTAATTTGTTGTTGTTCTCCAACATTATTGTGTAATAGTAATAGTTATTGTGATTTTTGAGTTTTTCGTAGACATATTTATTATTTGTATTTCTCGAACAATTGTTGATATATTGACTTCTTATTGTTGTTTGTGTTGTTGTATTGAATCAATTGGTGTTGTTGATATTCTTAATTTTGTTGGAAAGAATGAAGAAAAGAAAACATAATCAAGACATCATAAATAATTTATTGCCTTCAAGAACAGTGCTAAAGTCAATTTTCTAGAGTTCACATGATTTTTACTTTCGACAATTCATGCAAAGAGAAGGGTTTTATTCTTCTTTACTTTTAAACTCTTATATCTATAGAATAAGATCCCTCTAGCTATAATATTTTTGGAACAAAGCAACAAGTACAGGACAAAGTCTTTCTAAGATTGTTTTCTACACTTAGGCTAAGCTGAAATGATTAAATATTTTTAATCAAATCGAACTATTGACTAATATACGATTTGTTGTTCTAACTTACACATAGTTATGTTGCAATTGGAGGAAGATTAGAAGAGTTTATCATGGGGCCATGAGTTTTTCAATAGTGTAAGTTAGAGATTCTGCCCAATTGGATTTGAGCAGCAATGTTTACAAGGGGTGCATAACATCATAATCAGGATCTAAGTCTTTTTTCCTTTTTAGTTATAAAGCAAAAGAAGAAACTTGAGTTGTCTTCTCTTTATGCATTCGTTAGTAAGTTTCAAAATGTGAGAAAGAAGTTTGATCTCTTTCCTTTTTAGTTATAAAGAAGAAGAACTTGAGTTGTCTTCTCTTTATGTATTCGTTAGCAATTTCAAATGTGAGAAAGAAGTTTGATCTTGCGAAGAGTCCTCTTTGCATCAATTTATTTTATGACTCATCTATAGTCATCTACTGCAATAAAGAGTTTGCTACTGTTTTGCTTTTGTCCAACAGATGATTGATCTGTTGCAATAGATGGGTCATTTGTTGGACAAAAACTTAATCATTTGTTATTATTTTACTTAGGTCCAACAGATGACTTATTTGTTGCAACAGATAGGTCATATATTGGATGAAATCTCAATCTTTTATTGTTGTTTTGCTTTTATCCAACAGATTATCGATCTGTGGCAACAGATGAGTCATCTATTGGACGAAATCTCAATAGCTTACTGTTGTTTTACTTACTTCCCACGGATGGCCTATCTGCTGCAACCGATCAGTCATCTGTTGTAAGAAAACTTGATCATTTTCTACTGTTTTGCTTTGTTCCAATAGATGGACCATCTGTTGCAACAGATGGGTCATCTGTTGCAACAGATGGGTCATCTGTTAGAAATAAAATATATAGGTAAATATTACAATAAATATTTTATAAATTATAATTTATAGATTAGTTTTAATATAAACTACTTTTGTTTATAGATTGTACATCCATGGCTTGTCCCCACAGAGCAAGAGTTGCAAATGTCATTCTTTTTAACTTTAGGAATAATTGACACAAAATCAGACCCTACAGTGGATCTGATAAAAAAAGAATTGGCTGGAGCAACAACGATCAAAAGGGAAACACCTATTGTTTCTGGTGATGCTGATGATGTTGCAATAGATGTTGATGTTAATGTTATTGTTGATATTGGTGATGTTGGTGCTAAAAGTGGTGGTGAGCATATTGATGATGTTGGTGGTATATATGGTGGATTCACCCCTTTCAGTGGACATACCACATCTTTTGCTCCTTCTAACTTATGTTTTGCATGTAAATGTGAAGAATGCAAGAACAAAGATGCTCACTTAATATCTACTGGTGAAGAAGTCTCTTGATGCTCTTACTAGTGCTGTTAAGGAATTGATATCTAAGAGAGGTGTTATTCCATCAAGAAAATTTCGGATCCATTCACACCATTGAAGATTAAGAGGAGAAGAAAATCAATTTCCAAGATATTATCAAATATGAAAAAGAGACAACAAATTGCAACTACTCCTCTTCCTTGCAATGTTGAGTCATATTCAGGAGCCATAGAAGAGCAGCACAAGTTGTAGAGGGTATGGGTTGCTGAAGTCATATTTTGTAAGGTGAAGAACCTGATATTTTGTAATTGCTGATGACAATATTTTATATTTAATAGATGTCCAGTTATTTTATCATGAATT